CTTATGTACATAAGGAAATACTGAACATGTATATCTATGGGACAGAAACCACTTTTTACCATTACTTGACTAAAGGGAGTTATCCAAGATAAGCAAAAATACTGGCAACAGTCCTACATCATTATGGAGGCAGGTTTCATCACCTGATATTAATGTCATACAGTTTCCATAATCCTAGACATTCCTCCCACCTATGTAATGGAGAAAACCAACGTTTAGCCTAGGCCCGCATGCCACTCTGTGCTGCTCCCATTTGGCCCACGTCTCCTAAGCTTGCCACCATCCTGCTCACTGTTTAGTGAGCTGCTTTGGATTCTCAGGACAAACTACAGTATATTGAAGACATCTAGGTAGTTAGGGGCAGGTAAGAGAGAATCTCTTCCATTTGGACAGGCCTTGAATTGACAAAAGCCTAAAAATCACATTACTTCAGTGACAGGGAGGTCAGAACTTAATCCTATGTAAGTGCACTATGTGAAAGCAGGTGCAGGGGGATTTATCCCAAGCCAGGGCATTTGGGGATGGAGAAGTGCAGTTAGGAAACAAATACTTGCTTTGCTCACATTCCCTACTCTATGGGAGTTGCCTTTTCAGTATTTCCCATGAGGGACAGATGACTGGCAGAGTAAAATGCCACAGGGGAAGAATGGAGGTAATTACTACTCGGTAGATAAATCCTACATGTCACTTCTGGATTCAAGGCAGGCAGCCCAGCTTGAACGTTCTACATGAAAATGATCTGGTGGCCCTGTTCAGCTTCCAGAAAGCAGGAGTACAAACTGCTAAACCACTGCAAATAGTTCAGGACAAGAAACAACCCCTGAGCAAGATGGTCTTAGCTACTGAAGAGACTGGGCTCCCTTTTCATTCTTGCAACTGTTTCAGCAAACATCAATGCTGAGGTCAACAAAAGAGCAGCCAAAGATTTTAAAAAGGCACAAATAAAGAACATTGTTTTTACTCCAACCTGAGGGAAGAGATAATAAAACAGATGGTCAGACAGCTTTTGCTGGGTCTGAAAGAACAAATCAGCAGGACCAGATGAGCTTCATCCCAGGGTCCTGAAGCAAGTGGCAGAGGAGATTGTAGAGCCCTTTGCAATGATCATGAAGTCATGACAGATGGGTCAGGTTCTAGAGGACTGGAAAAGAGCCAATTTGGTGCCCCTCCTTGAAAAAGGCAAGAAGGAGGACCCTGAGAACTACAGACTGGTTATCCTCACCTCAAAACCTGGGAAGTTACTGATGCATATCCTAAAGAAGGCTATTTACAAGCACCTGGAGGAGGGAAGGCTGACTGCAAGCAGCCAGCATGGATTTATGAAAAACAATTTGTGTCAAACAAACTTGATCTCCTTTGACAAAGTAACTACTTGGGTGGATGAATGGAATGCTGTGGATATAGTATATCTGGACTTCAGCAAAGCTTTTGACAAGATCCCTCAAGACTGTCTCAAACAAATTGGAGAAATGTGAGCTACATAAAACTACTATAAGGCAGATAGATAACTGGCCCAATAACCACAAGCAAAGAGTAATTACTAATGGGTCCATGTCAAAATGGCAGGAAGCTTCAAGTGGAGTCCCACAGGGATTTGTTCTGGGTCCAGTGTTGTTCAATGTGTTTATTAACAATTTGGATATTGGCATAGAAAGCTTCCTGAGCAAGGCTGCAGATGACACTAAACTGGGAAGGACTGTGAACATGCTGACAGACTGGAAAGATGGGCTAGAGCTAACAGAATGAAGTTCAATATGGACAAATGCAAGGTGCTCCACCTCGGAAGGAATAATCAAAAACACAAATACAAAATGGTAGACCCCTGGCTGGAGGGCAGCACTATGAATGAGGACTTCGGATTCTTGGTAGACCATAGTCTCAATATGAGTATTCAGTGTGATGCAGCTGCACAAAAGGTGAACACAGTTTTGGTATGCATCAATAGAAGTATTAGATGCAAGACACAGGAGGTGATAGTGTCTCTACTCACCACTGGCTAGACCTCAACTAGAGTACTGTGTGCAGTTCTGGCTCCACATTTTAAAAAGGACATGGAGAAGTTAGAGGCTCAAGAGGCAGGCAACAAAGATGATCAAGGGCTTGGAAGGCAAGTCATGAGGGGAGGATGAAGGAGCTATGCAGATCCAGCTTGCAGAAAAGGCACTTAAGAAGAATGTGACAGTAGACTTCATATATCTGAAGGGCTGCCATAAAGAAGAGGAAAAGCACCTTTTCTCTCTTGCTGCAGATAGGATGAGGACCAACGGCTTGAAGTTGCAGCAAAGTAAGTTGAGATTAGATATTGGAAAAAACTTCTTTACTGTTAGGACAGTGAGGCAGTGAAACAGACTGCCTAGGGAAATTGTGGACTCCCCCTCACTGGAGGTCTTCAAGAGAGGCTGCACAGTCACTGCTTGGGGATGATCTAGGCATAGTTATGCTTACATTCTACCATGGGTATTTCTTGTGCTTCTGGGCTTTGCTGATTGCCCCTGTCTCCTTTTCTGCTATAGGTGTCAGGGTGTTTTTAAGCCTTCCAAGAAGCACTGGGTATTAGCTGTAGCCAAGACTGGGACTTTGACTGGGGTGTGCCAATGCTCCTGCTGGGACCAAAGCCAGAGGCTCCTGGCTAGGGGGTCTTGCCCCTCCACTCAGGGTCAGACGACTCATGGTTAGATTGGTATGGACTATGGGAGTTTTTGCCTTCCTCTGTAGCAGGGGACATGGTCCTCTACCCATAATCTCTTGAGTGTATATTGACAGCATATTATAGAAGCACGAAATTGGCTGACATGGTTCCCCTGCTTTATCCATGGGTGTTAGAGTCTATGTTGCGTCAGGGTTAGGGGTGCACCAATAGAGATTTTTTGGGCTGATACTGATGGCCAATTTTTAATGAGTTATATCGGCCAATGCCAATACCGCTTCAACTGCCGATAATGCAGCTCCACAGCTTGCAGAGCAGCATCCGGCTGGTAAGTCTGTTGTGGGGGCAGGGGTGGGGGGGGAGGAAAGGGATG